CCCCCCCCCCCCCCCCCCCCCGCAATGCCATGCACACGGACGCACTTACGGATATGTTTCTCTGTGTGTGTGTGTGTACAGCTGTGCTGCTTCTTCTTGAGTTCCTGGTCGTCATACCCGCCCTGAGCATTAACGTCCTCAATCTGGCAAGGATGGCAGACATCACATAGATGGCTGTCCGTCGTGATACTCTCTGCCTGCATGTGTGCCTCAGGTGCGTCCGGCGCGGGAGGATCTGACGATGTCGCAATTCGGACCGAGGATGACGTGGCGCAATTCAATTAAGTCGGTCGGAGACTCACAAGGCTGCCAGGCAATCGTCCCACAAGAGGCCCAGACATCTACATACGACCCCGCTGCACCACCGCAGGTAAATGGGCCTGGCCAGTTTGCTCTCCCATCTCTCTCTCACACCCTCTTTGGTTTGTGTGCGTGTCTCTGTGTGTGCGTGTGTGCGTGCAGTTCTCATGCGAGATGCCTGCGAGAGGTGGGGCATTCTTTGACGACATCATTCGGTGTGAGCTGCCGCATGTGCTTGGCGTACTGTGGGCATACGCTTCGGCTGACTGTCCCGCTGAGGAGGCGGCCCACACCAATCGCGCACTGCAAGTGATTCCCCGGCAGTCCCACCACTTGCCCCCCCTGTCAGACCAACGCCACACACACATAAGCCTCGAATGCATTGACTTCCTCTGCCTTGTCGCCGTCCCATCCGCTGCTACTGATGCTGATGCTGATGCCGGTGGGACGTGTGTGCGACGTCTGAGCTATGGCGTTCTCAAAGCCCTCTACAGCGGTCACACAGAAGGTAGAAGCATCGTCCATGAGCCCTGTGGAGGAGACACAGCCGAAACGGAGTCCGGGCCACGCCAGGAGCACAATGGGGATGACCAAGGGCAACGACCGCATGACGATCACCAGCAGGTGGACGCTGGTGGTGCCGATGGTGGTGACAGGGAGAGAGCGGTGATCATTGCATGCCTGCCCGCCCCTCTGCTGGCGTTCCTCAGCGACAGACGCATCAAAGTCCACTGACCAAGTGAACTGCATAAGCGCCGGGCGGGTGGATCATGCTCCTCCCGTTGGTGCTGTGCTGCTGCCGTGTCTCGCCATGCTTCCACCTGCTCTGCAAGGGGTGGTCCACTCACTGATCAAATGAAGCGCATGCACAAGCTTGACAAGCAGGGGAAGGAGAGGGAGAGGGAGAGGGAGAGGGGGGAGTGGGTGTGTGTACACAGGTGTAGATAGGTACACAGAAGCAAGCGTGGTGTCGCATACCGGCCCATCTACCTGTTCTGGCTGCATTCATTTATGAGTCGTGTGTGGATGTGTCTCAGCTTTATTTATCTCCACCCATGTGTCTCTGTCTGCTGAGTAGACAATAGTGGTCCAATTATGGTCCAATTAATTGGAATGCATGGGTAGGGGGCCGCACGTGGCATGGGGGTAGAGAGACAGCGTGTAGCCACCGGTTGTAGCGTGGCCTGGTCTATTTTTTGTCCCATTTGGTCTTGCGTACGAGGGCTAGGCCTAGTGAGGTGGTGCATGGTGTGTTGAACTGAACTGTGCGGCTGGCGCGGCTGATAAAATGATGGATGGATGGTTCACTGTTGATCGAACTGAGGTGCCTCACTGTGCGGCGCGGTTTTCGTCGCATTCAGATTTGAGTCTCCGTCCACCCCACTATGTACAAATCTGTTCGCACGGGTCTCGCGAGCGCACACAATGCAGAAAGGCTCGTGTGCAACCACACACGTCATCCAGACACGACTCGCAGCACGACTCGCAGCAGACACACGCGGCCGCCAGCCTGTGCTTATCTAAAGCTTGACCGGCTTGTGGTCGTGGACAGTGTCCACGACCACATGTGCACAAGCCGGCCACATTTTCATGATCAAGCCATAATACGCACACACCAGCGCACACCTACACAAGGAATGGCTCGTCTGTTTGTTTTGATTGAAAGGTCACACGGGTTACGTGACGATAGCCACGAAGGAGGCGCCACAGGCCGAGCAAGCGCAGCAAAAGCCGCAGGAGCAGGGGGAGGGGACGGGGACGGGTCAACAACAAGCAGAAGAGGGCAACGATAAGAAGGGCTAGGCGTGTCTGTTGCATAGTGATTGGCCGGGCGTGTGGGTGGCTGCATTGCATTGCTGGCTGGAACGGTGGATGCCTGACATTTGTGCTGCATGTGTGTATCATATGCGCCACAAATAAATCTTCACACTCATTGGTCTCGCAACGCACGAGTCAACCGCGTGTGAACAATTCGCACGTCCAAAAGCCGGCCAATCATCAGCCAAAAAATCGCATACAGATGACACAGCTGTCCGCCTCCCTCCCTCCCTCGCTCTCCGCTCCCCATTACAGCTTGAGCTCGATCCCATAATGTGTGAACTCGCAGTCGAAGCCCATGTCCTCGAGAATGTCCGCCACGCGGCGGCCGAGCAGGTCGCCTCCGACCTGTCTAAGCTGCTGTTTCAGCCAATTGTCGTGTTGCACCCAATTGGTCCAGCACCCGATGTCCAGCACCAACTTGCAGGCCAGGCTCTTTGCCATGTACTCCAACATGAATTCGTTATCACCTGAAACGGACTTTTTCTCATGATAAAACAGACTTCAGCGTGCGCTCTTGTGATCGCTCTGCTCCTCTTTAGAGGTCTCATACATCAGTGTAATGACAGTGATTCTGCAATGGGACGGGCCGCTGGATGAGACATGAACGAACGAATCACTCTGTCATTCTCTCGAGTCACACGAGCGTGTGCTTGTCAGTCAATCAGTGAATCAATCAATGATGGGTCAAGAGTGGGCAAGTGGCGCCGGGGAAGCCGACGGGGGAGGTGGGTGGGTGTTTCTCTATGTGGTGGCCGGCTATGTTGACCATGTATGGCTGATGTGAGACACTCATGGCCGGCCACCTCGTGGCCAGTCAGGCCAGGATCACGGCCGTCTCCCAAGCGAAGCAACCGAGGAGGGTTGTCTGTAGTGATGCAGTGATTCACTAAATGATTGAATGAATGAATGAATTGAATCAATTCATTGATTGACTGACAAGCAAGCACACACTTATGTGACGCGAAGTGTTTTGTGCTTGCGTCATGGCTGGGTCGTTTGTGAGTTTCGCACAAGCACTTCACTGCAAATGCGTCGCATTCGGATCATTCGGGCCTGTAAGGGCTCAAGGCTTGCCTGACGCTGCAAGAAGTCTGTTTCATCATGAGAAAAAGTCCGTTTCACGTGATAACGAATTCATGGCGTGTTCTGCCTCCTCCTGCAGCTGGATCATCTTGCCGTTGCGGATGCGGCTCACCTCTGCGAAAGGCACCTTGCTGATGGCGATCTTGTCCTCGGGCATGTCGATGTTGAAGTAGCTGAACTCCTTCTGCAGCTGGGCCTTGCTGATGTTGTGGGGCACGTGCACGGGAGTCCCGCGGCGGTAGAAGTCCAGCACATACTCAAACAGATCTCCATTGGCATCTGACAACACACAGACCTGACGGCAGTGCTCGTCCTCTCTCTACAGCGATGCTTCGCCACGCACCGATGAAGATGGATTCGGCCTGGCTGGGGCGCCACTGGTCGTCGACGAGTTTGGCCAGCAGAGTGTTGGGGTGCTTGCTGAGGGTGGACTTGGCCACCTCGTACGCCTTGCCGCCCACATTCAACTTCACGACCTCGACAGACATGCCGGAGGTGGGGATGCTGGTGATGGCGGACTCTGAAGGACGGCTGCTGATGCTGCAACGGGTGCCAGTATTCCTGCAACATTCTCGTTTGTTTTGTGGTGGTGGCGGATGGGTGCTCTAACGTCACGGCCGGGCGGCCAGGATCCCTGTCCAGGGCAGGATCAGTGATGCGTGTACGTGGGGCCGGTACGTTCGTTGCACTGCACTGCCGCACACAAGAAGTGTCAGTGTCTACCCACCTCGTCCATCCATCCAGCCAGGTAGGAGGTAGTCAGGAAGACATGTACACGCACCTTCCTTCCTGTTAAGCACCACTTGCAAGCGTCTACCGCTGATGCAAAAACCAGCATCCCAACCATCCCAAGAGGGAGGGAGGGAGGGAGGGAGAGAGGGATGAGTCAGTCAGTCGTCAGTCGGTCAAGAGAAACCTACACCAACAGCTGGCCAGCTGCCCGGCCTGACCTAAACTGACTGACGTGCAGGACCGACCGGCAGGACAAGACACGGCTGCCTGTCGGTCTGTGTGTGCAAGACTCGCTCCCAATGGCTGAGCTAACTCGCCATCCCAATGAACGCACACTCACACACAAATACTCAGTCAGTCAGTCACTGTGGAACTGCAGTTGCTTAGTCAATCACCCTCCTGTTGAGGCTGCTCCTGCTGCTGCGGCTGTTGCTGCTCGACGGCATGTCCGCCCTCACTCTCCATCTGGCCCTTGCCCTCCTCCTTCACTTCTGCTGCACCGCCCGACTCCTCAGGCGCCGCAGCAGCAGCGGCAGCGGCAGCAGCTTTCTCCCCACTGCCACCAGCCGACTCGCCTTCGGTCTCCTGGGGTGCAGGTAGGGGTGGGGGCGGTGCAGCAACGTCAGCCATATGCTCATCGTCAACTTGACCAGCTGGCGCTGCAGCAACAGGAGCGGCAGCAGCAGAGGCAGCCGATGACGCCCCTCCGTCGTGATGAGAGGGCATGGCATTGGGTGGTGGGATGAGGGGTGGAAAGGGTTGGGGATGGGATGCGAGGAGAGCGCTGGATAATGGGGGCTGTGGCTGGGGAACCTTGCCCTCGTTGATGCAAGTCGGGCAGTAATACTTCTCCGGCTCCTCCTGAACGAAAGACAAGCATGGAAGAAAGAGGCGATGGCCTCTGTGTGTGGTGGTGGTGCTGTCTGTTGTCTCACCGTCATGTTGATGCACTGCCTGTGGAAGACCTTGGGGCACGTCTCGCAGCAGATGACGTCACCTGCCTTGTGGCAGACGCTGCAGTGGTAATGCCACCCGTCCGGACCCACAGCCTCCTGACACGCAGTTCAACAGACAGACAGACAGACGGCCATGCCAAACATACGAATGCAATGTGTCCGAGCCTCCGACTGACCAGGTCAGCGGGACCCTCCTCGGTCTCCGCCCTGGCAGCAGCAGCAGCAGCAGCAGCAGCGCCGGCCCTTGCAGCCCTACGCCCACGCCCAACCTCCTCGTCCACCGGGTCCATCCGTCGGCTGGGCCGCCCTTTGGCCTCAGAGCACCGCCGGAGGTTCTTCATGACCTGCTGCTCGCTCGACTCACTGTCCATCAAAGACTCGTCGTCGCTCGTGTCGCTCTCGGCCGAGCTCTCCTCCTCAGAGTCCTTTGCGCGGCGACGTGGGGCGTTGCGGCGGCCGCGACGGTCACGGTGACGGTGACGCTTGGGGGGCTGGTTGAGACCCTCTAGCCGCCGCTTGTGCCTGAGTTCTCGCTCCATCGCCTGACGACGCTGCTTCTCCTCACGGTCCTCCTGCAAAAGGCCAAACACAACACGTGAGAGTGTTGTTCCCATGCGCCGCTGTGTGTGTATAGGAGTGTCTTGGTGTGGTGTCTGCGACCCACCCTGGGGATGAATATGTCGGAGAATGCGTCATGGTCGGAGGGCTCTCTCATGCGCCGCTCCCGCAGGCCGTATCGCCCCTCCACCTTCATCTGCTCACGCCTGGCGCGCCGCAGCCCCCGCCCACCCATGCCACCCACATCGCCCCCACCCAATGACGACATGCCGCCCCACTCGTCGGCACCCAACGATGCATCGTCCTCGTGTGCTGCTGCAGCAGCTGCTGCTGGGGGAAGGGGTGGTGGGTGTGGCTGTTGTGCGAGGAAATCGGCCATGTACTGCATGCGCCTGGGAGGGAGGTTCTCGAGCTCTTCGTTGGTCCATGCCATCTGGCCCCTCCGCTGCCTGTCCTCCTCTCGCCGGGTCTCGTACGCCAGCTCCAGCTCCCTTTGGCGCGCCTCGTCGGCGTACTTGCGGTGCCGCGCCTCGTGCGCCTTGAGGACGTTCTCGCGCTTCTTGACACACACCTGCAATCTGCAAAGGAACACACAGACAGACAGACAGTGTGGCGTGATGTGGGGGGGAGTTGGGTGGTCGGATCGTTACTGACCTTTTGAGCAGCCAGAGGGCGCATGTGGTCAGCGTCGATATGGTCGATGCGTGACTGACATCCTGATGATATCGCCACACAAAAGACACACACACACACACACTGTGTATGAGGGAGATCTGGCCTCCTTGCCCACTCCCCAGCCGCCTCTTCCGTCGCTGGCTGACCTTCCTCCATGCGGCCTGCTCTACCCCTGTGCCGTCGAACACCTCATCCACGAGCTGCCACGACTCCTCGGGCGCAGCCTCCCTGAGGTCGCCATGATAGTAGTCGACATCCATCGCCACATACGACGGGGCAGCAGCAGCTGCAGCGGCTGCTGCTGCCGCTGGGACTTCTGCCGGGGGTGGGGGTGCGGCTGCCGCCGCTGCCGCTGCCGCTGCAGCTGCTGGCGGTGCTACTGGTGCACTGGCTCCCTCATCCTGCTGCTGCTGCTCTCCATCTTCTTCTTGGTCTCCGAAGACATCTCTGAGCCTCTTCTCGTCCATGTCGCCACTGACAGCGTCCTGCGCCGCCTGTGGCATGTCTGTGTCGCGGCGATGGTCGTGGTCGTGGTGGGGGTGAGGTTGGTTCTGCAGCTCAGGTGGCGGGCTGGTGGGCTTGCTCGACGGGGGTAGGCTCCTGTCGGCCCGCCGCTTCTCGCGCTCCCGCCGCTCTTCGTCCTTCCTGCACCTGGAGGCGTTCAGGGCCACCTGCACCGACGACTCGAAGGCCAGCAGCGCCGCTCGAACGTCGCCCGGGGACAGCTCGTGGTGATCGTCCTGCATCGCAAACACACGAGCAAGTTTGCTGGAACGGTGCTGGGCTGTACCTACCATGTTGTCGACGATCGTGAGGCTGAGATCGTCCCGCCAGTTGGGCATGTCGTTCATGAAGGCGTAGAGCGGCGTGGTGGGGTACTCGTCGCGCACCAAACCCGTCTCGCGCATGCGCCGAGCCGCAACACGCAGGCCATCGAACACGTCACGCGCACCTGCACACGCAAAACACAGAGAGGGTTGGG